TATATATATATATATATATATATATTCACCCCCAGTCAGAGGACTTATAATGCTAAAAGTTGGGTTTTGGTAACCCACTTTTGTAACTTTGCACTTAACAACAAAACAAAGAAGCAAATAAAATGGACCAATATATTTAAAAAGGATATTTTATGATTTTTCTTATATGAATATTGCTATTATTATTACTTAGAACCATTTAATTGATGATCAAGTTAATTAGTTTCAAAAACAGAGATTTTGGATTGTATAATTCATTGTGGGTTTTAACAGACATCCTTACCAAGTTAATAAATTTTATTTTTCTAACTTTAATAAATATCTCTGCAATTCAGTTTCTCTTGTAGTAGCAGTAGTAGTAGTAGTAGGGTCTTGATTAAGTTTGTGAGGTTTGGATGAGTTATTATAAATGTTATCTGCTTTATTCATGTAATCCACTTTATCCATAACAACAATACTATTCCCTAATTATTTTTTCAGTGAAATTGAAATAATGTTTGAATTTATTCTTTAGAACTTAGAGTATCTGAGAAGTTAAAGTTTGAAGATTATCATTTTAAGCTTTGAGTAGTTTAAAAACTATTTAAAAACTCACTTGTTTGGAATTGGGAGAGTTTTGTAACATGAGAATTGAAATATGTGGAATATTTTAATTTCTTTCAAGAATTATAGTTTAGAAAATCAGTCTTTAAGTGTAAGGAAAGAAAAAATAGCAGCATTAAAAACCTTAACAAGATAGTAATGTTGTTATAATCAAATCTGATAAACTGAATAGTGTTGTTATTCTGGATCAAATGAGTTATCTGAATAAGAAAGATAACATTTAAAATAACTCAACTAACTTGTCAGACTTGACCAAGACCCTACTAATAGCAGAAAAACTAAATTGTAGATATATTTATTAAAATTGAACATAGAGAAACAAACAGAATTTATTCTCTTTAACAGTGAGTAATCTTTTCGTTTTTACAATACTTTACCTGATCTGACTTGAAAAAAACACACAGGATATATATTTTTTTATCAATGAATACTCCTTTTTTCTAATGTCTTGCATGAACCAACTTGGAGAAAGAAAGAAAATTTATTTCCTTTAAAAGAAAGAGAATGATCTTTTTCATTTTTAACATATTGCACAACTAGACTTGGAAATAGAAATATACAGGAGAAATTATGTTTCACATTGAGTACTGATTTCCTTCTTTCTGTTGTTGTATACATAATATGTTCAGACTTGGAAAAGTAAACAGGACTTGCTCTCTTTCAATTTGAATAATCTACCTTACCTTTTTTTGTAGTTACCAGACTTAGAGAAACAAACAAGATTTGTTTCATATTACTCCATTGTTACACTTTGATGTGTTACACTTTGTTTGAATAGACAAGATGGAACAAATAGTTCTCTTCACCCTGAGTACTTCTTTCAATTTTACAAACTTTCTGCAGTCAGACTTGTAGAAACTGATAGGATCATTATTTATTGGTTCAAAGGTACAGTTTTTCCTTTATCTTCAGTTTGATAATCCTTTGAGAATATTGATAATGTCATAAAGTATTTGAAAGATCCTTTGTTACTCAGGATTTTACCTAGAAATGATTTGATTTAACATTTTTAAGAATAAAGTTTTTAATCTATTTAGAAATTTCTATGTAAGGAGTAACTTGTTTTTGCAGGTTTGAAGTTCCTATTGCTTTTCAACAGACTAACAGACCAGTTCCTGTCATCTATTCTTTGAACACTGTTTTTCAGCTTCTCAACAACCAAAAAATGTTTTTAATGCCACCAACAGATGTCAAAACTAGTCTTCAGGATATTGATTATAAGGGAACCTTTTCAAAAGGTAAAAGATGCACAAATGTTTTACTTTCTACATGCTTTATAAAATATCAAACTTGAATAAATGATAGTAACATCTTATTACATGAAATCTGTTTTTAGAAACTGTACTAACTTTTGAGAATGAGTTAGACTTTGTGAAATTACAGTTTTTAAGATTAAGAGTTGTAATATATCTATCAGTAGAAAGACATAATGCATAAAAAAAGGTAGCCAAGTTTATAAAATAAGTAAAAGTGAAAATGTATCAAAGTTACAATACCACAATGTAATGCTAAGTTAGGCTTTGGGATTATCTAACACCAATATGAGTTTAGTGTGTGTGGTATGGGCTATCTGTAGGAAAGATGGATAAAACATGTGGTTCAGCTATGGAAAAAAACTTTTACATATTTGCCTCTAGATTTGTTAGTTTTTTTGTTAAGCACAAAACTGCACAATGGGCTATCTATGCTGTAACAACAACAAGTATTAAAACCCAGTCTTTAGCATTATAAGTTGCCTTCAGTCTAACCATTGATCCACCAGGGGACTTGACTCTAGGAGTACAAAACTTGCAAAATATGTTCTTAACGAGTAGACAATTTTCCCATGACACTAAGTAATGTGGCTTTTGATAGATTTAATAATGTAAAAAACATGAAAATAATTTTAAGCTGAACAGGATATTTTTTGTTAGACTAAGATTTTCAAGTATTCTCATTGTATTTACAAACTTCTAACAGAATTATAACTTACTAACAAAATACATGAAAACTAATTGTTTGTACTTAAATTCGATGATGAGGAACCCACTTTGAGACTAATAACGCTTGGAGACGGCTTGAATGGGTAATGAAGAAAACTTTAATATTAGTTTAACATAACAGCAAATGTAAAACGTTTTGTCATGATGATGATGATGATAAAACCTTTTCAAAACATTGTACATTTGCTGTTATGTTAAACTTATATTAAAGTTTTCTTCATTACCCATTCAAGCTGTCTCCAAGCGTTATTAATTGTTTGTATCACTCATCTTCTTTCTTTTGAATAATATGCAAACTTCATATTATCCTCTTAACAACATCTAGTAACAGATGCTCTTAAATGGATGTGACAGAGTAATCCTAGAGTAGCATAACATTTGAGATTAATTGTATAACACATTACTGTTTAACTGAAGAGTCAGATTGTAGTATATTACAGATAATACAGCAAAAAAACTAATGTTCATGAAGACATAAAGAAAGAAATTAAATTAATAGCAAAATTATGCAATACAGAGTAAACAAAAAAAAATAATATATATATATATATATACACTAGACACCCTTCTAGTTTGATTTGTTGTGCCTATGAATTGAAAACGTTGTAGTTTAAAATTTTAGAAACACATCAGAATGAGCAAGTTATTGATTTTTCTTCACTTTATTTATGACTTTAATATTCTACAAATTTAATCAATTTAAATTTTTTAGAAAAAAGTAAAACATAGCTACAAATGATTAAGAGCAGTAGATTTTCGAAAAGTTGTACAAGATATCTAATCTAAATACAAGGTGGTGCAACATTTTCATACATTATTGCCCTTAGTTTCTATACAAGGCATCACTGATAAAAATGAGAGGTTTTCCCATTCTGAGTTTTTCATGTAGGTACATGTAGATACCTTTTTTTTCTTCAAAAAACATTATTCAGTATTAGTATTATATAGTGCAATGATGCCATTAAAATTCATAAACAGAGAAAATTAATACCCATTTGCAGAGTCAAATTTTTGCACATTACTGGTTGGAATTTAAGAAAAAATTGCAAAATACCTTGGCCATTCACTGAGTACTATGAAGTACACATTGGACAAATACAAGGAAACCTAGTCTTATAACATCAGACAAGGCAGGGGATGGAGAAAGAAGCTCACTGTAAAAGATGTCAGATATTTAAAAATCGATTCTCAGAAATATAAAAAAAACAATGGAAAACTACAAAAAACTTTGCTAATGACTCAGCAAGTCATACACAGATAAACTTTCAAGAATTACAGTCTCAAGAAAGCTCCAGAAATATGGTCTTTGGGACAAAGTAGCAGCAAGAAAGCTTTCATTGTGTGGGTATTGTTTTATGTTTAACTGGTGACCAGAAGCAATCAACAGCTAGATTACCTTGTTTATATACTTACTGACACCCATATTTAGGTTTGATTGAAAAAAAGCTAAGTTTTTTTAACCTATAGCCTTCATTAGTTTCAGACTTTTAGTTTAATAAACTTCTAGAAAGTCTTGTAGTAAATTCTAATGCGTTTGACAACATATGGTCAATGTGGATTGGTTTACAGATATAAGCTGATTATTTGAAAACTGGATGCTCTGAGAGACTTCACCTTCACTTTTAACTCATTCATTAAGTCCATAGTGGTAAATTATATTAATAATTTTCATCCACTACTCTTTCTATAAGTTCATCACATAAGGCGCCCCTCATTGAATGAATGAATGAATTCAATGTGAAAGGCTTCAAAAATGTGTCCTGCAAAATTGGTGTTTATAGAGAAAACTTGAATATTTTTAGCAGAAGTGACCATTCATTTTACAGCTAAGTATACATCATATTTAGTACTGCAGCATAATTCTCAAAGACCGTTATTAGCCACAGTAAACGTTTTTTTTTTTGTAATATAGCTAGTGAATGTGTTGTTAAGTGCTGTATTTGAGTTATAAGTTAAGCAGATTCTATGAAAACATTTCTTTATCACTATAAATCATTTAAATCAAGTGGATTAGAATGAAGACTGCCTTCAGATCCAATCATGTCAAACCATGTGAGTACTGGGTTCTACTATAACATACTTTTTAATGCATCTAATAATGAAGCTAGCAAGGTAATGTATCAAGTCAGCCAGATTACAAAATTTGAGATTTATTAAACACAATAAACTTTACAAAATACTAACCACCAATAAAGAAGTGTCTGGTCATGACTTTGTAAATAATCATCTGTCTCCAAATCAAATAAAAGGAATATAAAAAAGTAATGCCCTTTGTAACAACCCACGCAAAAAAAAATAATAAAAGCAATAATAATAATAATAATAACCAATCAAGAAAAGAAGAACCAGAAGAATAAAAATCTAATTCTGAAGTAGGTACTTATCAAACAATTGAGTCACAGACCAGCATTGACCAAATACTTGCAGTAATATCTTTAACAAATCAAATTAATTATAACAAGATTTGGTGTCTGTGTGTGTGTCACATAACTCCTCTAAAACTGCTGGTCACACTGACTTCTAAGTATAACAAATGGTTCTAAGGTTTGCACAAAACTAACATTTTTTCACATTTGGGGAAGCTGGGGATTTCCTGAAAGCCACTCCTCCTAAACTGCTGGACTCACCAACTTCTGAATGCTGCTAAATGAATCGTTTTGGTTTTGAGGCTTGCACAATGGTAAAACGTTTTACTCAACCCTTAGGGAACCTGAGTATTTTGCAAATCACTTTTACAAGGATTCCCTGAAAGTGGTCCTCAAATTTGGCATTGATTTATATTAGAGCACGTAAATAAGTAGACCTATTAATTACCATTCATAACTTGGTTAAAGAAATTAAATTTGCATTATAGCAGTAATTATCATTAAACTGAAAAAGTTCAATATAGTAGTTCAAGCATTAAATTTAAATTATAGTGATCCTGTGAATGTGGGTCATAGGCCCGTGGGTTTGCTAGTATCTTATGTATCACAGTTTCACAAATATCTTAACACTTCTCTCTCTCATTTGTCTAACTTTAATTCTTAAGGCTTTTATTTCCTTGCCAAACATTGAGATTAAATACCACAAGAGTAAGTACTTATCATTTGTTTTATTTAATCAGTCATAAACTTAGTGTCCTTATGGCATCACTAGGAGAACCTTGTATTGATGTGTCTTAATATAAAAATCACTCATTCAACAACTGATGTTCAATACGAGTTAGGTCAGCTATCATTTAAAGCAAATAAAACATAGCTTAGCTAAATGGTAGAAGAAAAAATACTTAAACAATAAAAACAAAATCATAACTAAAAATAGAAATTGCAGACTTAACACAGTCGTCATGGTACGTAAATTGATTGTGTGGGCCTTGTTTAACTGTGAATCACTTATAAAACAGAAGTGCTGTTTATACTGGTCTTTACATAGTAAAACAAGTACTAACTGTACTATTAAAGCAGTATATTCCTTTGTAATGTTTACATACTAAAAAAGTTGTTAACTATAGAGTTAAAGCAAGTTATCCTTCCATTATGTTTACCATAATTTTTATTGTTGCAAAATACCATTTAGGTAAAATAAACTTTGCCTGTACTGTAATGTATGGTATGTGCCTTTATAGGACAGACTGTCTATGGGAGAGTGTTGTGGAACCCAGAACAAGATTTAGAGTCTGCTTACAAACTTCAGATTGAAAGGCTTTATATGTGCACTGGCAGAGATGGTTATATTCCAACATATGATCCAACAGGAGAAGATTACAATGAGGGTTTACAATTCGGCTGTATTCAGCCTAACAAAAACTTGAAGCATCGGTTCCTGATCTTGGTAAAGTTTTTATTGATTTGGTAAAAACTGTAGAATTCTAGCTGAGCATAGAGACTTATAGTTATTTTCAAATGAAAAGTATTGCAGAACATAACTGATGAATTCCAAGCACACACATTCTGTTCCAGTTCCTTTAAATTTCTCTTGAATATTTAACTTAAAAATTATAAGGTATATAAAAGAATACATTTGTTTACTATTTTGTTTCAATTTATTTTTCAAAAAATTTATATGAAAATGCTACTTATGAGGGTAATATATATGAAAAATATTAATTTCTGTTGCTAGAAACAACATTAAGGATTAACTTAATTGTGTTTCTTAAGACCCATGTAGATTATTATAGAATTTTCAGCCAAATGTAATTAGGATTTTGTTATATAAATACCCCAAAAAATTCAGTTGCAATATACTAAAATTTGATTTTAATCATAATGAGGAGATAATTGTAGTCCATACTGAAATTTTAGATAATATGCAAAGGACTTGGTTCAGTGTGGCATTTACTTGTAGTTTAGACCTTTAGTTAAGTTTATTTCAACAATAATATTGCTGACACAAGTTAATTTTTAGTTTGTAAGATTTATTTTTAAATTAAAATGAAGCTCTCGTGTACAATTTTAGTTTATATATAAAAAAAAATTTTTTTTACAGTGTGTCTTCCAGTTACAGTTTTTGTTGTCATTAGAGCTTCATTCTATAATAGAACCCATGACCATTATTTAGTAATATTAAAGGTTTTCATATAATAAATTGACAAATGATGATTTATAAGCATCATAAAAATTATTTTATGTACAGACCAATATTTTGTTGAAATATATAGTATTTCTCTACATAAAATTGTCTTGCTTACATTTCATTGCTTGTGATTTTACTATTGTATTAACGTGCTTTCATACACAGGTAACGGGATTCAAAGTATGAAGCAAATGTTTTACTTTTTGAAAGGGCATGTATTGCAACTGTTAGTTTTTATAAAAGTTAAATTGGGTGTAAAACTGGATAATCATTTTACTTGGTTGTATTCGGTCAATGTTTTATTGTTGATGTTACTATCTTAAAGTAACAGTTAGGAATCTGTAATACCGTGTCATTTTTGCTACATGGTTTGTACCTGGTGATGGTGGGTTAATGCCTTATGTATGTTTTTCATAAATTATTTCTTTTAACAGTTTTTAAAAAGTTACTAATATTAAATAAAAGAACATCTTATTGACTACTATTCTTTCTACTATCTGGGTGTTATGTAATTCTTTTTTGCTATTTTAGGACCGAAACAATCCAGAAGCTGTAGATAAACACTTTCATGACATTCCATTTAAAGCTAAATTTGCCAGTGATGATCCTACATTTGAATCATTGGCACAGCTTCCTGGTGTGGATGGATTCTTGTTGAAAGTGGATGCCTTATACAAGGTTTGTTATACTTATCATCAATATCATTTGAATCTGATGATCACTTTTGTTGTTAATTTGTATACAACCATTCTCATTCTTCGTCACACACAAATTTTGCATGTGTAATAAAATACAAGTGATTGATAATGCTATTTCTGAGATACCTTTTGTTTGTTTTGATATCAAGTCATTCCCTTGATATTTTATTTTTTGAGTAGTTTTTAGTCTCAGTATTTATAAATTTTAGATTTCCATTTTTTAAAATTTTTATATAGTTATTTCACTAGAAATATTTTAACTTTTTAGCAGCTGGAAAACTGGTACATATTTCAGTCTGTTATAAAGTAGGAATTAATGTTGTTGTTTTTTCAGGTATATTCACATAACTTATTAAGAATGTTTTTGTTGACTTCTCAATTTAGCAGATATTGTTGTAAACAGAGTATGAATAGCTATAAATATTAGCCTTTTGTTATAGTTACATGTCACAGTGAGAGAGAGAGCAGGATTGTGTCCATACCACAATGTTAAGTCAGACAAAAAGTCCTAGTGCAGCATCTTACAATTCTAGGTTGTCTACATAATTTATCATATCCATTATACTTATTTAAAGGGAATTTAACTCAAATAATACTAACATGTACAAACCTTTGCACCATCCCCAATCTAGGTATGTTAAGGAAATTTTGAACGAGAATAAAGAAAGAAACATGGACAGCAAGAAAAATAATAAAAACTCTAACATTTATGTAAATAAAAGGAATACAGTTTATCAGCTTATAGATTAACTGGTTCAACTGCCAGTGTAGATAGGAATAGCAACAACTTCATTCAACAACAGGTGGAAGAATTGTCTATAGACAAAACTTTTCATTTATTGAAGATATTAATGCTTGTTGTTGTTTATTAAGTTACATTTTGGTTTGTTTTTGAACAGTTTCCTTTGAGTATGTTTTTTTTATTTCTATCATTATTTGGTTACTGTGAAGTTTATAAGTTATGATTAAGGAAGGACATATCTTGAGACCACATATAATTTGAGGTGGGTCACATGAACCCAATATAACTGTTAGTTCTTGCTGCACTGTCATATTGGGTTCATGCCAATATGACAGTGTAGCAAGAACTAACAGTTGAACTCTTCTGAATCAATGGCTTTCACCAGCTATGGTTAGAGTTACATATGCATTATTGATTTGTCCTTGGGGGCAATAGGTTGAGGGATGAGTAGGAGGAATCCTGAGTGCAAACTCAACCTCTGTTAAGTACCTCCTATGTGCAGTGACACAGACAGCTTATGTGATATTCTGGATATACCAAGACTAATTGAGAATCTCTCTTTGGAACTTCTAGATGTTTATTTACTATCTCGGATATCACCTTATACCATGTAGGAGTCATCGGTGACTAAATGGTGGACAAAGTCTGCCATGAACAGTCACTACATTGTCTGGTGGGTCAGCCAATATTTAGCTATGATTCTGCAGATCCCATAAGACAGTGAGGATCAACTAGACAACTAGAACATGGTTGTTTAGTTGCCAAAGGTCTGACAATGTTGAGAACAGGGTGATCTATAGGACCAAATTCCAAATTCATGCAAAAGCATTAGCCCCCATGAGTTCTTGGCCACTGAGGTGTATGATTTAAGGAGACTACATGGGAAGACATTCCTGAACATCAACTATGGATCACAATGAAATTCTCATCAGTAATTTTATAGATGCTCTAAATTGTTATGGTGCATGTGTAATGGTCCCCTGTGGGTTAACATAGCTTCTCTTATTCAGATGCCACGGCTGCATCACCTATGCCGGGAGTTGCCATTATAAAGATAATTACAGTATAAGGGACATAGTTCCTGTTTTAAGTGTTGCTCACTGAACCATTGGATATAGGATGCACAAGCCCTGTTCCAGCTGACACCTCAACACCATAGCTGTAACTGCTTCTGCTACATTAAACTGGTGGAGTCTGAGGTGGGTCTACTAATTGACGTGTACCCAACATCATGGTGGCCAGATTATATGATCTTGGACTCGGCATCACATGATATTTGCTAGTGAGGGTGAATGAGTGTAAGGTTGAATTTCTAATGAGTAATGGAGAAACCAGAATAGTACCCAACTTTGCCATAGTATCAGGCACTCAATGTGAAGTCATCACTTTGGCCTGTAAGGACAAACTTTGTTTTGGCAAGCTTTATCATGGTAATTGTAAGTTCAGAGGCACATATCTGACTTAATCTTTACAAATTTTCTCATCAGTCTTGTTTCACGTATTGGTGTCTTAGGGATGAATCTATGTAGTTATTCTTAGTTATTTTTGCTTGTGCAACAGATGAGCTACTAGTCTAGTGATTACCAATTTAGGTCAAAGAACACTGGACTGCACATGGAGAAAGAGGTTGTAGTATCTTTGAATGCCCAAATGATGTTCCACAGATGCAGCCTTATGTATTGTCACCATCTGCAGCAGTGATGTAACCCATAGTTTTCTGTCCATAAAACAGGAAGGACTAGCTTGAGTAGTTATCTATCCTACTATACAGATGTTGTATTAGCACTGGCTTCTAATTATGAACATATTGCTATTCAGCTGCCAGCTAGCATGGCCATCAGCAAGATAATGAAAGAAGAAGTAACGCAAACCTGCCATGTACATGGTGTTACTTCAGCTGTACTGAGGTCACTTATTGAGGATTGTGCTGCGAAACTGATCTCAACATACAGAAATAAGAGCTTTGTGACTTGTTCATGGAATTTGGTGCTGTTTGTTTAGGATCAGATGGCGATCTGTTGATTTGAGAACTAGGTGACAATCCCAGGGGCTGTGCCAACAGGCATTGACCTCTTACGTATTAATCAGCTGCCTTGCAGGAGGTAAAAAAAAAATTTCTTTACTGATGTTACTAATGGCTTTCTGGTCATAGACTGTCCTATGAATCCTTCATCTTTTGCTTTTCCTAGTTACACCATACTCTACCTTGTTTTCCAGGAATTTTATTTTCTCTGAATGTTGGTGAAAATGTAATGTGGTTACTTCTTTCATCTCACTAGGGCAGAGGAGATTGATATTCTGTCATGAGAGTTGTGCTTTCTTACGAGCCTGCCAATTTTATTGTGTAGCTTTATTCTTGCATGGGCTGGCACGTACATTCACGTGTGTTGCTTCCACTTTGTCATCCATCTGGGAACCAACCACTTTGAAGTTTATGCCTGTGAGATAGTTACAGCTATTATGTTTGTTATAGTGTTTTTGCTTTTGTCAGTAAAGAGAAGAGCTTGCTTTATGGCTTCCAATTTCATACTTTGTTGCTTGTGGGAAGCTTGAATGCTCCATCAGCTTTTTGCAGAAAGTTGTTACTCTGCAAGACAATGAATGTTGAACCAGCTCTTTCGCTGTCTTTGGTGTAGGAACCATCTGTGGCTATGATGGCAGGTGACTATCCACCATGGTCTTGTAAAAAGTGCTGAAAGGCTTTTACTGTGCTTCACTGTATTTTCTTTTTCTGTATAGGCTTATTTCCACCAAATGTAGGCCAACAGTAACATGTTATCACACAGGTTCAGGTGAAACACATCTGATAAAACAGGCTTTCTTGGAGTACCAAGATGTTACCAACACTGAAATCAAACATATTTTGCATGGTAGAATAATACAACCTTTGGAGAGTGATTGCCTTCAGTTGTTCTTGTAAGTACTCTTAGGTTCTGCATGGATTTGAGGTGAGTGAATGCAAAGACTTGTTGATGTATTTTCTTTGCTGTTGATGGACCTAGCTCTGTATACACATGAGAATACTCATTGTTTCAGTATACTAAATCTAGTATCCAACTGCTGGCAAATCAAATTGTTGATGTAGACCTAAAATTTCTTTCAACAGTACAGAAGTATTATCATTCAGCCTGTGTAACACATCTGCTACTTCTGAGAAGCTAACAGAGCTTACACTTACAGAACTATAATGGAAGAGATGGCTCTTCAATGTGAATAGAATTTAAAAAAATTACCAAACCCTAATGCTTTTAACAGATAACCTTACATGATTTTCTCTATCATGATTATCAGTTTAAATGATGTTTTACTTTCATGGTTGTACATTTCAGGCCTCTAAGTGAGGTTGAGAATGTTATTTTAGCATATCAAAGATGTAGGTTTGAAAGTGCAACCAGAAAAGTTTCCATTGAAGCAGGCAGAGATGGATTTACTTGGCCACATAACAGGCAGGGATGGAACATACACTGAGACTGCAAGAGTCATAGTGGCCAAGAACTGTCCTCAGATTGAGAGTGTACAAGAAGTTTGCAGCTTTTTAGGTTTCATGTTATACTGTTGACTGTGTAACCAAACGCTCCTAAATAGCCACACCAGTGTCTGCTTTGTATAGAAACATGAGTTGAGCAGGGATTCCAAACCCTAGTGTGTGTGTTTTGATCAAAGAACCACTGTTGGCTTATATTTATCAAGACTTTCCATTCATCTTGGATATTGATGCCAGTGATAGTGGAATTGGAGCAATGTTGTCACAAGTACAGGGTAACATGGAGCAAATATAGGCCTTATGCTAACACTGATATTGTATAACCAACTGTATAACTTGTATTTGTAGTATATATATCATGCATTAATGCTGCTACTTTTATGGTAGGGAGTTCACCATTAGAGTGGACAATGTGATGAACTACATCTGATGAACTAGCAGATTCAGAATGTATGATTGTGTTGGATAATGATGCTGTAAAAGTATAACTCCACTGCTCAAGTGTACAACATTATCTGGGCAAGCATCATGCAAATGTTGATGGATTATCATGCCATCTAAGGAAAACTTATTTGTTTGGTGATGTCCATCTTTTGGACACTGTGCAGTAGTCAAAGCCATGACAGCAGCAGTAATGATGAATCATGTAAGCAGTGACAATCTCGCAGCTGTCATAAACTCGTGAACAAAGTATTTGTATACATAAAACTCGTAAAAAAAGTATTTTTATACATAAAACTCATAAAAAAAAAGTATTTATACACATAACACCTGGCATTTGTATAGTCAGGTATAAGTGCATATGATTATATCCCAGCAATTGAGCCATAAAAATTTGTTAACCAACCCACGATTCAGCAAGTGGTTTACAGAGCATTAAGACAATGAATACTTTAGACTTTGCATAAGCAAGGACTTAGAGGGCACCAGGGAGTTTCATGCATCATAAGAAACTTGAAGAAGTGTTTTTTATGGCCAAATTCATGTAAGATGTTGAAAGATGATGTATACACTTTACCATGTACATCATCCACCCTCAGGAAAATTGGTAATGTCAGAAGAAAATCTAGCAGAGAGCTGTAAGTTCTCCATTCCAATGAATTTCTCAAAATGTAACTTTTTCTATAACCAAAACTGAAAAATTAATTTGCTTCAACTGACCATTTTAAATTACTTTACGAGATGGGCCAAAGCTTCTCTATTGATCAATACACTAGATTAGTCCATCTATGTTTGGCTGCTTCAGGAGTCAGATAGATGAGCAACTTGATTCTGCTCATGAGAACATTGTTATACTATCTTGACCATAACTGAAAACATGTGAGGAGTTAGATGATGAAATGCCAAAAGAGTAGCAATTTTAATGCTCCAATGTTTGGTCAAGACACTGACATTGGCCTCCTAATCACTATTGCTGAGATATCTTGTTTGATCAGCAGTCATGAATGTCAGTTTGTTGAAAAATAAATGACTGAGAGGAATTCATGTTCTTTGCTTATTGAACTGTTTAGTGGTTATTCATGGTAGGAGGTATACAGAATATTGTGTGATAATACTCACTTGTAGTGCATTTAAATTAGTTGGTTGATTGACAAATCAATGATTGAGAGGAAGTTGTGACACTTTCTTTCTGAGCTATCGGACAATATTTGGCGGAGAGAGATATTATATTATGTCTTTTGATAATACTTGATCTGTCTAGTAAGTTTTATTAGCATTTATACAGAGCAGAAAATACAATAATTACTAGATAAACACAGCTAAGACAGTTGGGATTACGAGATAAGATCTTAGAACAAAGATGATCAATTACAACCCTTTGAGCTCATTAGAAACTGACAAAACATTGGACCAGCACTCTGCTTTATCAACAAGACAGTGGTGGAAGAATTTGACATGAATGTGAGATGGCTGTTCATGCTGACTGGTAAAGCTGTTGTCAGGGGCTGGTGCAGTCAGAGGTATAGTTAATGTATTAATACATGCGCTGTCACATGGAAACTATGTGATTTGGACAGTCGTTGATGCTTCAGATAAGTGTGTATTTGTAGAGGGGTGAGTGCATACGCAAATCTTACTCTTAGGTGTATCACATATGTCTAGGTTAGTCTTTTTCCCAGAAAAGGTTGGGTAGTTACCTGGATATCTCTGACATCTACTTTACATTGATAGCTAAATGTTTTATGAATCAGAAACAGCATTGTGTCAGAGTTTTTGGTACTGAACACCAGTCATAAAATTCTATGATTATTAACCATAATCTTTCTTGATTTTCAACTTCCATCTAGCCAATTTTTCTGACTATCTTTTAAATAATGGAAAGTTTCCTGCAGTTTTCTTCTTGCTGAAAACCTGATAAAGGACTTTTGCCTGAAACATTGTTTATATATTCGTTCATAAAGTTATTTGAAGTTGGTGAATATTTTACCATTACTTGTTTTATTGTAGAAACAAAAGTAATCATTATCTTATTTCATTATAACCAGGTCAATTCTGGTCATCAGTGGTATCTCCAAGTCATGTATACTATTGGTCCATCTGATGGACATCGGCGAGTTCAACGTTCTGCTACTCTAAGATTTCCAAACACTTTAACAAACCTGCAAGCCCAACCTGGCATACTCAAGAAGAATGGAACAAACATGAAAGCTCTTTACCTAAACATGTCTAATTTTGAAGTTCCAGCAGACTCTGATGCAGAAGGTACTAATTTTGTTGCTGTGTTTGTGCCATTAGTTTTACTGCTGCTCTTAACCACAATTGTTGTTATTGTCATTAGAAGAAGAAAATTGCAAAACCAAGAAAAACAATTCTATGAAGAAGAAAATAAGAACAATATTAGGAAAGCTATGGAACAGAAACTAGCAGATACACCTTTCCTGAAGACAAAAATGAATTGTTATTCTGATAATTTGAACAGTAAAGCTAACAATTCTGCTAAAGTGAGTTTTAAAGGTATTAATGTGACTGTGAGAAATAACCTCCAACAGCCATCATCCTTAGGTGGCACCGAAGTATAGGCAGTTGTTCTGTCTTTTCAATTTTAGTTATGAAAGAAATAGATTTTGTGTTTGAACCAAGTGTAAAAATTGCTTTTATAATTAGAGTATTATTACATCACCTCATAGCCACATGTGCCATTAAGAAGCATGAAGTCATGAAAAACAGATTCTTCAGTATTTTGAATAGGTTTGAAAGTTAGTAACTTAAACAAAGTCTTATTTTGGTGTTTTTGTTCTCTTCTAGTGTAATAGAGATTACCATTTATTTTCTGTATGAATTATTAAAACATAAATATCACATGTGAAAATGCCAGACCCTCAAAGTCTATATTCTTCACTTCATTTAATCAGTAATGAATAAATTCTTGTTATATATTTACAGATGTTTTTTTTATTTTGAATATGGAACTAATACACTTTGTGTAAAGGTAGGAAAAATGAACTTTTAATGAAAAGAAATAAAAAATGTGTGGTAAAAATTTATTAGCATTATGTTTTGTGAATTTAAGGGTGACAACTTAAACCATTAGTATCATCTTAGAAATGAATGTCATCTTAAACCAAGAGTTTATATTTAGATATTTTTTAAAACCAGACCCTTGAACTTAAATTTAAATATCAGCATAAACCATAAGTTTTTTAAACTTAAACCATTAGCTTATTAATTATTTGGCAACAATAAATTTCATTGAGCAGCTACTGATAACATGAAAATCAACACAGAAATATGAAAAAAGTAGTATATTGGAATTTTCCAAATAACACATTGCTTAATGTTTTCTTATCAAAGATTCCCACAATACAATTGAGTATTGTAAACACTGTGCCATTTATTGACTATTTCAAATTGGTGCACTTGTATGCCTGTGGATTCTTAGTTATGGACTAATAAAACATAAGCAAGTAATTTTGGGTTTATCCATTAACTTTTTCAATCCTTGTCACTATGAATAAAATAAACATGTTGTGCCATAATAAACACAATATTTAAAATTATGAAAATTTTTTCAGGCAGTTTTTTTCTCAATATTCAACAGTTCACAGTCTAGTTTAGTTTGCTGAAGTTTGTTTTCTTTCTGATTTAATATACTTTAATTTGTATTAAAATAAATGTGGATGTCATATTAGTGTTCTGCAAATTACTGCCATGTTGAATTAATGTATTGTTTCTCAATAATTTGTAATAAAAGCAGATAATGGATGTCATTCTTGTGTGATCTGGATATATGATTATATATATAATCTTTCAAACTGTTTATCATTGATAAAATTTGCCACTGAAAGTTCTATGACATCTTGATAAAACTTTCTAGGTTGTCCAGTGTCTTTATATAAGAACATTTTACCATATGAAAGCCATCCAAAGTTCTACACCATCTCAAAAAGGTTTTCTACTTTTAATATGATACACAACATTTAGATGGAACTTTACACCTTTAATTGGTTCACCATTCAAAGTTCTTTAATGTCTGGGTTTACCCCAGCATCTAGATAGAATACTCAGACATTGATATGATACACCATCCAAAGTTTTCTGACATCTGGATAGAATACTCAGACATTGATATGATACACCATCCAAAGTTTCCTGACATCTGGTTAGAATACTCAGGTATTGATATGATACACCATCCAAAGTTTCCTGACATCTGGTTAGAATACTCAGACAATGATATGACACATCATCCAAGATTTCCTAACATCTGTTTAGAATACTCAGGTACTGATATGATACACCATCCAAAGTTTCCTGACATCTGGTTAGAATACTCAGACAATGATATGACACATCATCCAAGATTTCCTAACATCTGTTTAGAATACTCTGGTATTGATATGATATACCATCCAAAGTTTCCTGACATCTGTTTAGAATACTCAGACATTGATATGATACACTATCCAAGGTTTCCTTACATCTGGTTAGAATACTCAAACATATTCTGTATATATATATATTTCAAAGTAAAGTTTATTTTATTATTATTCATCTCTACTTCACAACTTCACCTTCTTCTCAATGATCAGCCAATCTGTGATTCATCTTTCAGCCTTTTTTACCGGTAAAGTGTTTATTCACTTGTCTATCTTCACATGGAGTTTTGTCTTTCATATTACCACACCAATCCTTCTATGTGGTGATTCCTCAAATTTTAGTTGTTTCAAAGATCAAATAACTGTGAGCTTGGTTTATCTTTGAATTATCACAGTAAGATTCTTCAAAGCAAAATGTTTGCATCACATAGTAAATACTATATTTACGGCTTCTGTGAACTACATTGTGGCTAGGCACAAATTTTACAATATTCTTTACAGAAGTACAAATTTTATTTCAAAAGTAATGACATAACTATGTGAATTATTAGATATAAGAAAACAGAAGCAACAAAATATCATCAAACGGCTACTGAATTGGTAGAAATATTAAATAGAACATTATGAGATATATTGTAACAGTATGGTGAACTAGATCAAAAGATATGAGATGAAAAGGTTCCCTTATTACTTTTAGCTTAAAGGTGTGCTGCAAATGAGTCTTAGGAGAGTCTTTTCTTTTATTACGTTCTAGAAATGTTACATTACACATGCAAAAAAATATTACCTGCAAGGAAATTTAATTATGAAAGTAAAAATGATGCAAAGAATGCAATTGGTATTCAGGATGTGAAAATAGCATTTGCTAAAATTGGCACAAGTTAGAGAAAGACATGCAAGTAAGAAGGCAAAGATCAGTAATAATGAATTATTGGCATTTTGTAGGTAGTGTGATGCCACTGAAAATTAATCATTTTTGGGAAGTGTATGTAACAGCCTTTTTCAACAAAAAATATTCATACACTCATATCATACAGCTTAAGTTACCAAACACAGCACTTATAGATTTCTGTGTGATTGAACTGTTGGCAAACCATAATCCTTGTACACTAGATGGATTATCAAACAAACCAGGGAACAGTGGTGTGCTTTGGAAATTAGTCTTATGATGGAGCCTTCTGAAACAAAAACTACACTGCAGGGCTATTTTCAAGATGCATTGTTGTCAGATAGGCATCATCAGATGTGGTGACATGGACTATAGCAACATGGTGAGTCTTTAATATAACATACTCAACCCTCTGTATTCCTACTGTGAAAAAAAATTAAACACAAAGAACTTTCTAAGTTATGGACAATATCAGTTAGTGTAATAAAATTTAATTTTGAGTTACAAACACTTATTACAAGATAACTGTAAATGTAAATAGGTTTTAAAAGCTTAAACAAACTAAACCATATGAATTTGAAAATTTACCTCAAAATAAAGATGATATTCAACAGACACTTGAGAAGAAATTAAAATTTCAGTTAGTAGTGGTGAAGTTGAATTAAATGAAGAATATATTGAACAAGTAAAGGTACTATGGACATATTTTCTGAGGATGAAAATTTAGTTGTAGATATCACATTAGATACATGATGGACTAGGAACTGCAATTTTGCAAGTAATGACAGTAGCACAAGAACAATAAATAGAAACTTACAAACAATTAGCTCAGAAATATTATCAAAAACTAGAAATAGCCAAAAATAAAGTGTGATTAATGTGAGTGGAAGGATTTTTTTGGCTCCACTATGTTGGGTGATTTTAAAAAAACTAAGCATGAAAGTAAGTAAACACAGGTAGATATTTAAATGGATTATACACTTGTTAAGTGGGCAAACAAATATAGTAAATTCATTAAACGAAACATTGGAATTACATGATCAAGTGATTAATACAAGTATCAAATAGCAGATAAAAAGTCAAGTCTGTATTTTCCATTGCTCAGAAAATTAGAACAAGTGTTGAATGAAACTGAAAGGGAATTATCATCAAACTTAAAGTTTATGATCCCAAACTGTAGTAATGAAACTGATACGTATTCTAGTTGAGACAAGGTTAAAGGTTGATGCTATAAAAATACTTTGAAAATATTTATTCAGATACCTTTGAAAGTGACAAACAGGTTATTTAAATTTATAAAGCTATTGCCTATTGAAAGAAATAATTCCTTAAAAATAAAATTTAAAAAACCCTATTTATTCATTTCAAGATTTTAAAGGTGAACTATATATGTATTTACTGCATTTGTTTCTTTGTTTTTGAATTTTGCAAAAAGCTACTTGAGGGTGACCTGCACTAGCCATCCCTAATTTTGAAGTGATAGACTTGAGGGAAGACAGCTAAACACAACCCACCACCAATTTTTGGACTACCCTTTACCAACAAATAGTGGGATTGAGTTAAAGGCAAATTATTATATATTTTTGGCACTAAATAAATATTTTTATGCATAATCTCGTTTTTAACTACTGGAACTTTATATTTTAATTCCTGTATTCTATGAGGATAAACAACATTTTGTATATGTAAGTAATAACTTTTATTCTTTGTAATTAATATTCTACATATTAATAAGTATCTGACAGGATATAGTTTTAGTAAAATACACCTCTTATACAGTGGTACAGCGGCATTTCTGCGGACTTATACTGCTAGAATCCAGGTTTCAATACCCGTGGTGGGCTGAGCACAGATATCCCTTTGTGCTTAATAACAAACAACAACAAAATACAACTCTTATAAATTGCCCCATTTTTATAATCATATATTTTATACAATATTATTCAATAATATTTGTTCATTTGTTGTTTAGCAAAAAGCTACACAATGGGCCATTTGCACTGAACCAACCACGAGTACTGAAATAGTTTTAGCATTACAAGCCTTCAGACTTACTACTGTGTCACTGGGGGGTCTACTTTGTAATGAAATAACTGGCTTTAGTGTAGTTGGATAAGATCCTCCTAATATCAAAATTCTATACTCAATTACTGACTGTATTAATGAGAAATAAAGCTTGATACTTTTTTAAAATAATAGACTTTAATGAATATAAATCTTAATGTTCTAGCCAAATTTTTAACTTGCTGTTATGAGCTTAAACGTTTGTCAATGTGTAAGCCTAGATAATTTACAACATCCACTTATCTTGCAAACATCTTCAGTTATTATCATTTCTACACTCATTATTATGAATATAAAATTAATTTTTTTTAAATTCAAAGATGTATATTTCTTTTTAGTTATATTAATAGATAAATATAATTTATTTAAACAAACAATTTCCTTTTCTTTACAACTCATTTTTAATTTGAAGTTCTATTTTAGCACAGCTAAATGTTGGTGCTATATCACCAGCAAACATAGAATACAATTTAAATTTAGATCACATTATTCATTTGGGTGTATTGTTATGAAATAACTGTTATCGCTAGAATTTTTACTTTATTTAATATTTAATGTGATACTGTATCAAATGTCTTCTCTAGATCCATAAGTACACTGTTTTTATCTTTATATGAGGACTTGTAAATATTTTGTGTGAAGTTTAAGAGCTCCTTTTCAGTATTTAATCCTTCCCTAAATTTATATATTGTTTTAGATAAAAGAATTACTTATTTAAAAAAATTTAGTCAACCTGCTTTTCATTAGTTTTTCTAATATTTTAGAAAATGCTGATAAAAAGAAATGTCTATAATTCACATAATTATTCCTATCATCCTTTTTGTATACTGGAATTACTACAATTTTTTAGTTCCTCTGGAAAAGTTCCTGTTGTAATAGATAAATTATAAATATAGTTCTATGACACAATTTACACACTCTTGTTATTATCTTTACTGAAATTTCATCATATTGTCGACTTTTCTGATTTTTAATACTCATAAATATAGTTTTTCTCTCCCTCATTACATATAAGAAATAAATACGTGGAGTTATTATTTCTCTTTATACTAAATGTTTTACATGGTTCATTTTCAATTTGCTTTATATTTATTCTGCTATATAAAATTAGTTATTAAATTTATTTGCTAATATAAGTAGAACTTTGATTAACATATTCAGAACTTACTGGAAATGATTTACTAAGTTGTATTACAGGACCCATTTAAATTTGTAACCCAAATTGTAGAATACAAAAGGTTCAATAAGTTATATTAGAATGATTTTGAAGGCTAACGACATCATTACAGTACACGCTGCAATGTTCGTCATGCTCTTTCTGATGATTGTACATCGTGACAACAGCCCTATAGTGTAGCTTCCACTGCAAAAGGCTCAGTTGTAAAACTGTCATGCCCGAAGCACACCACTCTTCCTTTCAGATCATAATTGATCATGTAGTCTTTGATTTGCATGATGAAAATCTTAAAAAAGTTCTAGATATTATTTTGTTACAATGTTTTTTTTAAAATAGCCATAATATTACAAATTCAAATATTTATAGTTTGTTTTTCTAAAATATGTTGCATGCTGCTATTCTGTACAATCTTTTAACTTGTACATTTGAAAAAATATATACTGAAAACTGATTAGTTTCTCAGGCACCAATGTATCAGTTAAAACCATGCCACATCCAACTTTTTTGTTTTATCAGAATTTCTGTTTTCAATGTTACCATAAACACTCATGCATAACCCACATCCTTTTCAGGAGCATCTGTATAATATGCCCCACCTTTTCAGAACTTTAGTGGTGCAGAATTATTCTACAAAAAGAAAAGTTGGTCTGTCCAGAGAATGACAGCTTACTCCAAAACTTTTATTTTTTCAAGTGATTATTCCACCTACTACATAAGTCTACATATAGTGGCCTATTTTACATTGTTTACAAGTTTTATATTGACCCTATTATAATAATGTCTTGGGAACTTTAAATTCTGATCTGAATCACCAGCCAGTCCATATCCAGCATACATGTAGAACTTACTGCCACCAGATTTTGTACACAGATCCAGACTGTTATACCCAGAAATAGGTCACAGGTGACGAATGTAGCAAGTGGGATATATTCATTGCCATGACCAACAAGATCAACTTCACGTCATTAACTGAATTGAGATAGATGTGATTATACAATCATTCATCATACAATACATAACATCTAGATTATGCTTGAAAAAGTATATGATTTGGTTTAATATTTGTAATAATATTTTTGGCTGTGAATTTTTGTTTGTGAAATGCTGTTTCTAAGATACTTTATTTTGTTGTTATTTTGTCTTCCTATAATAACATAAATGTATCCAACAGAACTAAAATTTGAGTCTGTATTATTCTAGTAATAGTATACTCATTTTTCATTTGTCCATACAAGTTCTTACATAAAATGAAAGCAATTATTGGAAAAATATGAGGGAAAGAAATAAAACTCATTTTTAAACTTATTATTGATTAAATATATATATATATATATATATATATATCCAATGAGTTATGTTTTATTTTCATCAATTATTTATATTTGTTATTTACCTTCACCCACTGAAGCAGTTACGTGTCCATGAAAATATCATAAAACCCCTATGAATAGTAAAAGTTTTGACTGTTGACTGATAAATATACAAATTGCATTCGTATCCTACATCTACACTGAAAAAAGGCAATATTCTTCCTTGTATATTTTTGGCCAAGCTCAAAATCTTTCTAATAATTATCATTTGTTTTCAATAACTAAGAAACTCTTCTACTTGTAAACATAAACCTATACCTATATATAAGTGTGTTATTTACAGGCATTTGGAGATATGCAAATTTAAAAGTTCAAACACTTATAAAGTTTCTTTCTAAATAACACTAAATGAATTTACCAAATTTATTAAATATAAATTCTTGAATATTTATGAGTAAAATAATTTTTGAAATAATTCTATTTACTCTTTTTTACTGAAATGTGAAAATCTGATATGTAAATTTGCACTTCACACTGGAAAGCTACTCACCGGTCTTAATAGGTTTAAAGTGTTTTTAACAGATATAAAAACTTTGAAAACTAAAATAAATACCAGTAAATTTTTACTTATCAATTTTATAAGTAGTAATGGGACACAAATAATGGAAGTAGGGGAAAATTGTGAACAGGTGAATTAAGCACTTCATTCACTTTTAATAAATGTATTTACTTTGGTGTTAAAACTTGTACAACATTAACTACTACAAAATCTTTATACACATATCATGTATATTAAATTGTACATAATATTCCAATGGTGTGAAGCATTGTTATAAGTTAATATACTGACAATGAGTAAGCAGTCGTTAAACTACACATATTATATTTAGAACTACTATAAACAGTGTCACTATGACTGATGAGAGAATAATAATCTAATCTTGTAAGACATTCTTTAATAACTGGCTTGTTCATGTCTAATGCAAGTAAACAAACTGTTATAGATTAATTTTACTTGTCTAAGAAACTTTTTCCAGTTTTCTAAACCTCTTCATTAACTTTAATCAACAGAAGTCAAATATAAATAAAACTCAAAGCTATTAGTATACCTACAATAAAATTTGGGTAAAAAAAGTCATAGTTACTAAAATCTTCTTTAAGATATCAAATATATTTATTCTAGGAACATTCTCAAATAATTTTGATAAACAAATGAACTGATTTATGCCAGTTTATGCTATCAATATATTTTTCACCACTCCAAGAAATATTTAAAGAAGAATTATGATAAGTTGTTTGGATCAGTACCAGTTAATAAATGTAGGTAAGTGTGTTAAAATAACAGTTACTGTGTTTGTCTGTACAACAGTAAAATGTACAACTACTTTATATAATTTCACACAGAAATATTAATCCAAATATTTATTTTTGAGTGATCTTTCCTTAACAGCTGTGTTTACAAAACCAAACTTGCAAGACATTTATATAATTTCTGTCACTCAAATTGTTGTTCTGGAGGTGTGTGTTATAATTTTGGAGCTCCATATGCATCTGGCATCCTTTCAATAGAAAATCTGAAAGAATTAAAACTTTTCTTATATATACAATATATATATTAGTGCTATTAGCTATATTTTATATATATTATTAGTAGGAAAAAGATAAGATCAACAGAAACAATGAAGCATATTTAACTAAAACGTATACCTCTATGTAAAGGGGTGTACAATTAATATTATTTCACACAAAATTACATATTAATTCCATTACAACAAGTGATTACTATACAATGAGATCTGTTAAGTCAGATTTGTAAATCAAGGATTTCTAGCAAAATGTTCTGTTTAAAAACTTAACCACACTTAGACTTGTGTAAAAATGTATTTGTGGCAAATTATTTTATGTTTTATTCTTGCAGAACCACGAAAAAATAAAAAATTTACATTTGTATTAGATGATATGACATACAATCTACAATGAGAAACTGGTTGTTTAATGTAACTATCCTCAACAGACAGCATTTACTCTCTAGAACATTAACTGATGTAACGGTTCAATTGTTTTTTTCTTATGTAAATATACACCTTAAAAATTGTGTCAGTGCTCATACAAAATTGGTACATCACGAGAATACCAAGTTATAAGCTTCTATAACTACACCAATGAAAACTTAAAAAACTATCATTGCTCATACAGATTTGATAAGTTACAAAACTAGCAATAAAAACATACACACACACAAATTGGTACATCACTATTATCATAAGACCCAAAGCATTATCTATTTTTACTATCTATCTACTTCTTATTGTTATATCCTTTAAAAGAGAGCTGGTGTCAATTTACTTTCAATTCACATACCTATGTTGATATAAATACATAATTGGAACTCCTGGAATTTTTCGTATTCTCCTCTTCAAATCTTTATCACATGTAGCAACAATGTAACACTTGTGCTAAAAGAACACAATGAATGGTATCAAACTCTTTCCTGGTGATGAAGATGTAAATGCCAGATAAAAAACTATTGCATAAACCAAAAACAATAAAAGTGAATATAATTCATTATAGCAAAATAAAATATTTAAATTACAGAAATTTATCAAATATGAATAAAATTCTACACTCTGTCTCTCTTGTGCTACTTCACATAACAAACAAGACTGTCTGGTTAATACAAGAATTATGCTATTACAAAGTCACCTGAAAAATCACTCATCACAGCAGGAACATTTTTAAAATACAACCCATAAATCAACTAGAATTAAATTGTCTAGTTAATGTATTGTGTATGAACTGACAATGACTGAAATAGATAGAAACTGTGTTACAAACTCCAACTTCTCCTCTATACTAATATATGTCCAGTTGGAAAAAAAGATACGAATGACAAATTATTTTGTTTATCTGATCTATGCAACTTCTAAAAGGAGTATGTAGGTAACATTTTCAATAACATATAGTAGGATAAATATAATGTACTTATATTAGTTTTAATTTTTTCAATAAAGTTTACTAGTGCACGACATCACTCATACATCATGTGATTGTATTGTTGAGGTGAAGTTGCTACATAGCATATGTCAACTAAGCAAACAATTTAGTTGTCATATCCTCAGGAAGTGTTGGTAGTGCTATATAAATCTGATAAAACTGAGCAGGTAGCACACTGATAAACCTGCATAAGAAAATAATGTTTATAACCAAAAATTAAAACAGCAATTAATTAAACCAAAATCAAATGTATTATTAAGTAAAATTTAGTATCTTCAATATTTTTTTTTAAGTAAGGACCTTAATATTGTTCCATTAAATACATCAAAAGTACTGATTGTATCAAATATACCATAAAATCTTACTTTATTAATTACTCTTGAAGTTTAGAGATTATCACTCAAACAAAAATAATTATTTCATTATTGCTGTAGCACTCAACTTGTTTGTTTTAATACAAAGTATTTATTTTATTAACTATGTTAAAAGCACTTCCAAATTTTATGTTCAAGTTCTGAACTTATCTTAGAACATTTAATCTATTAGCTGCTGATGTAACAATGAACGTACCTGTGTTACCCTTTGAACAATACAGTCATCTGCATAAGTTCCTTTATGAAGGCATGGTAACCTCTCAAACCTTGGATCTTTAGCTATTCTGAAAACCAGTAGTTCTTTATAATCAAAGAATAATACCTAAAACTAATTTAGTAGTTTCATATACTAAACAGGCTTGCTGTTACAATATTTTATACTGATTTGATTTTTTAGTTGTGTTTTAGATTCTTTTCTTGAACAAAATCTCCTCCAGCCCAATGTATCACAATTTCCAATAAAAGTTCTACCATATAACAACTTAATCATAAGTATGACACAAAAATATAAAAACAAATGCTATTTTCCGAGTTTTTTGCTATTTTTATATCACCTTGTAAAAAAGCAAAGGATACTCTACTTTCTTACTTATAATAAACTACTTATTGTACATGGCACATTTTCGTTGAAATGACATTAACATGCATCAAAAGTTCTACAGTTTTTCTACTATTGACACATTTTATAGTCATACAATAGCATATAAAGAATAAAACAACATTTATTCCTTGCTGGCTAGCTGTTTTAAAATTTTTGAATTTTATCTCAAAGTGTGTGACACACAATTAAAAATTACAAAGCAAGAAACAAAATTTAAATTAGATACATGCAATGAAACCATATCATGTACAAAAAACACTTCTTAATCAAGAAACTCTTTAGAACAAATTATATCTCTGTATACCAGGAAAAAAATAATTAGAGAATGTGCAATATGTCTCAAAATTCCACATTAATTAGTACTGTTTAATAATTAATTAAAATTCTGTGTAAAAAGTATGTACAACAACTGCTACCTTAGAGTTTAAAGTGTGCTATGATATAGATTTTGATTTCAGAATTATGCAGTTCTGATGTTATATACTGAAATTCAGTAGATAAAACTCTTTTGAATTGGATAATGCTACCACCAGTAGGTTTATGAGCATCTGAACGAAGTGAGTAAGTTTTATGATTTTGAGTTATAAGACTTGCCATTAAACATCACCAAAAAATACAGAACATGTGGATTTTAGAAAAATTCACTAAAATACAATAAAAAGAAAAACAAACAAACTGAATTACATCCAAGTTCTACATACTTGAGAGCAACTCTGTACTTGCTTCCTAGTTTTTCAAGTTCACCCAAAACACAATCAGTCACATAGGGAATACCTGAAAAAAATAAACATTATATTTCATAACAAAACTACACGGAATTACAAATATACAGTAAGATGTCAAACTTAACACTCATTTTACCATAATAAGATACATTCAATAAGCTAAATTAGCATCATGTACCCAGAGTAAAATATAAATATTATGAACACCAAACAATAAAGATAATTAACTTTTCCTACTATGAATAAAACAGACAACAATAAAGTGAATTAACTTCTCTCCTCACCAGATAACAATTTACGAGAAACTTTCCTTCTGTAATTATTATAAAAAGCAATAAAGTGAATTCACTTTTCCTATCCACAACAATTAGGGTTTTTACAATGATTAGCAAATAGAACAAAAAAATGAACTGAATCCTTCTACCCAGAGTAAAATTTGGAACAATAAACCAATTTACATTTTTCAATTATGCTGACTGGATGATTCCTTATGACACTTAATACTTATTCAAAAAACACTCTAAATGCTTGCATATGCAAACGATACTTATGTGATATTATTCTTAAGCATCGTAGAGAAATAGAGTTTACATTAATATGCAAGACAATGGACAAGAGTACGGATCTGGAAGACTTACAGGTGCATGATAGTGGGTACTCATATATCAGTAATGTCATTATTTAAATCCATTTCTGTGACTATCTGTTCAGTCATTTGTTATCAGTCTATCAAGAGTGCCAACTGACACGTAAGATGTCTGGCTGCTACTCAATGGTAATGAAATACAGGAAAAGATTACTGGATAGAATTGTTGAAAGCAAAAAACAACAAACTGTCACCCTAATGACTATTTTCAAACTGTACCAGGTGAAGAAAATTATAACAAGTGTTATACATCAACCAAACAGTAAATGAAACATTACTCAACCCAAATGATGAGAAATGTGTTTAGTGGTCCTTACAACACAAACAGTTCAACAATGAATGATCGAAAACGTGTAAACTGGTCTGATGATTTGTTTCACACACTGATAGAAAGGTAACAGTATAAAAAAAAAGCCCAAGACATTTGATCTTATCTATACTAATCTAACAATACAAGGTGTTGGAGGTGATATAATGATAGAAACATTATTGACTCTGATACTTTTAAAAGAATCCAGAATTTAACATAAAGGTTTCACTAATCAAGTCTATCCCATAATGCTTTATTGCAACAGAGGTAAACGAAGGCTTCTCCAAGATGATGCCAAAAAAGGCAACAACACTTGTACATCCAGTAATGTTTCTAATACCATGATTGTGAATGCACACAAGTCCTTTAGCCAATATAGTCATTTGGTCTTGATGTAATTAAGATATTTTAGAATTCTGTTGTACCTCATAAAGTACTTTACTTTTTCTTCTGTTAACTCTCAAAAATAACCTAAGTTTACCTTAAAATTTCAATCAGTGTGTGTATGTAGATTTTCACATATAAGGCAATCTGCTTTGTACCGTCACAATCTTTATTTGTGCATTAGCCACACAGAGTGATTGATAATTTCTTTTTGGTGTCACCTAAATTCTCCCATTGTCAATGTCACTACAGAAATTTGTAGTTTTTCTTGTAACGTTGATAATGAAGTGGAGTACGTAATGTGGGTAGTGCATGTCCTCTAGAAGAGATACCATTACTGGTTTTTGAATATAGTGGCATAGTCTTTCAGTCTGATACAGAACTTATTCAACTTCAACTTGGGGATCCAGTGTTCTAAACAATTCAGAGAGTAGTTCTCTCTTACGTCTTTGTGTTTTGATTTGTGTTTAAGATAAATATAAAGATTGATTTTCACTTTGTAATTTACATTTGTGCATGGTCTCTTTCTTCTATTGAGTCAGACCTGAATTCCATGAAACACTTTTGTCATTCTTCTTGTTATCTATGGTTTCCGTTACTACCTGAAAGGTGATCATTGTATCTGAGAATAGCTTATTTAGAAAGTTAGTTAAATTAAAGTAGTTTTGGAATGTGCTATTGTAACATGTGATACATATTTTGTGTTCTAAAATGCACATTTCAAATAAACATAAACATCAATACAAAAAAAGTTGGTTTAGAGTACACTTCATCTATGGTAAAAGGGTCCAAGTCCAGACAAAAGTACTAAATTTCTTGTTTCTATAAATATTTTTTTATTTCTTATTATAAAAGTCACTAAAAAGTAAAAATTACACTTATTAAGTTAGATAAGAAAAATAAATGACAAAAGAAATAAAAACATTTCTCAGGATGCTCGATATCCTACAGAAAGGCAACCACACACACACACACAATGTTGGATGACTGTATCCAACTGTAATTACATTTTTCTTATTTTGCATAACATACAAGGCGAACAAAGTTAACTTTTCTTTCTATAAATTTAAAACAAGCATTTAGTTTTCCTATTACGAGTAATATAAATAACAAAATTAGCGTATTTTAATAAGAATGAGAATCAAAACAAGAAACTTACTAAAATTTTACTATTATTATCAATATATATAAAACAATAAATTTAAAAAAATGGTTTATCCTATCCAGACTAAAATACAAAATAAGAAACTTCATTATATTTTAAATTTATGAATAATATATGAATCACTTACTTGTGCTGACTTTTCATGCCCAGTAATAAATTAGAATAATAATAATTAAAGTGTTCTTATGTTGAATAGTACAAAAAAATAAATAAATTAACTCTCATATACTGGATGAAATACAACAGTAGATGTCATTACAGTTCCTATAATAAATATTTTATACAAAACAAACTTTATTAACTCTTTCAGCACAGGCACAGTCCCTGGGACCAACCTCATAAACCTTTTGTGCTTGTTATAGTTTTCATGCTAACTTTTAAATTAGAAAGCAAATGTTAACGAAATTGGTAGATTATCAGTAAACATTACAATGCTTTCATATGCAAAATATCAATTTTTTTATTATTAAGTCTTAAGGTTTATAAAGCAATGTGACCTGTCTCAAAAAGGTTAACCTTTACTACATAGAATAGGATACAAAATAATAAACTTGATTAACTATTCTTATTATGTATAAAATACAAAACTACCTTAATATAATTTACTTATTGTAAACAAAAAAGTGTAATTAAATCTTCTTATTATGAACATTATATATATATATATAAAAATTAAGTAACTTTTCCCATCAGGTATAAAATACAATTTTTATTTTGGATACTTGCACAAAGCTACACGACAGTTATCTGCACTAGCCATCTCTAATTTTGAACAAACAGACTAGAAGAAAGACAGCTAGTCAACAGCCTCCACTGCCAACTCTTGGGTTACACATAGTGGGATTTCATTGTCATTTTTATAACACAACCACAGCCCCAAAGTACACAACTGAATTTTGCAGCAAAAGAATGTGAACCATGGACCTCAGATTCACATTTCAGCACAGTAAGCAGTAGGCTACACCCATCACATTGAATATGACAAACTAATTAAATTTTTGTATGATGTTTAAAATACGAAAGTGATTAAAACTGCTCATACCCAGAATAAAAAAGAAACAAAAGTATAATTACAATGTCATATTATGAAGAATATACAAAAATAAACTTACGTAATTTGTACTACCCAGAATCAAATGTGTACTTTCTTAAATTATCCTAATATGGGAAAAAATACAAAGTAGAATCCTAAATGGCTGCTCCTAAAGTAAACAAGAAGGAATCCTCAATAGCCGAGGCAGTTGAAATTCTTTTAAGAAGGATTAGAGTAAATTAATCTACAAGACCTTTTTCCCTTTTTATTAGCTTTATTTTTGTGCACCAGCAATACCAAGTGTGGGGCACGTATATACCTGATTTGATTCTTTAGTCATTAAGATCTCTACCAGACTACCTTTAAACTGAAATTCTTTCAGGCAGGATTAGTGAAAATTTATCTATAAGACCAGTTCAAAACTGTAATTAGATCTCAAATCGGTCAAGAGATGACGGAGCTATAAGCTCCTAAGCTGTGGCTAAAATACAAAATAAACTTTACAGACTCATCCTTAACAGAACGGAAGTACTTAAAAAAAAGTATTAAACAAATTAATTTCTTCTTTTGTGAATAATATATAAAAACAGTGAATTAACTTAACCTATTGCCACAAAAACAAACTATACAACTTTTGCTACTTAGTCGTACATATGATAAATTTACAACACTTTCTAATACAATAAGCTGTATAATTCTTCCAGAAATGCACTGTATATATAAAGAACCCTTTGTAAAACTGTACAAACATTTCAATTTTGTTTTGAGACCCAAACTAAAAACATATAAACATAACAATTACTTACACTTAGCATACAAGCAATCCATCATAGACTGTATAATATCCAGTTTATTTTTTATGGAAAAGTTAATGAAGTTGGTATCCAGAAGTACATGAAATGGTGGACCTAACTGGGTGTTATACTTGAAGAAGAGAGCAGAAGAATACTGGGGCCTGTTACAGTTCATGGTAAAAAGAAGTTCAAAACAGTGAACAGAAATTCATAAAAAATACAAAAATTATTGCATAACTGAAACAGACCCTACTACAAAATTGTAAACAGATAATTCATGAAATTATATGCCAATTTATATTTACAATAACTTCATTAAGAATTTTTTGATGCTTGAGTATATGACAAATAAATTACTTGTTTTAAATCTTGTATTACACTAAAATACCTTAGCTTTGCAACACCAAGAAAATGAGCATGGCCAAGTACACTTTCAAAAGAAATATTAAATAATTCTAGAAACAAAAATAGAAATTGATAAAACACATTATGATCAAACTATTATATATACTCATAACTGTGAATATGAAATATAAAAACATATATATATGTCTAAATTTAGAAATTGTATGGTTTCATAAATGAGTACGTGTAAGGAAAACAGATGTAAAAATCACTTTATGTAAGTGTTAACATTAACACTTGCTCAAGAGACCTGGAGAAGTAAGAAATGATAATTTTTTACACATTTTTTACATGAAAATCCTGATAAATGGAAATACTCAAAGGACCTGGACTTGAACCCAGGACATCGAGCTAAATAGGCCAGTACTTTACAACAAAGCTTCCCAAGAATACAAGCCATCTCCTATCACTGTTCTTTTATAAGGCTACATATTATAAGTATGATCACCAATCTATGTTATGATCAGGCAATTAGTGGGTTGATTCACCACCACCCAACTAAAACGTATAAAGTCTATTACAGATTATATTTAATTTTTTTTTTTCCATTAGGGAAATATGAAATGACAAGTTTGAACTTGAACTTCTACATGAAAAAGTAAGAAATAGATTTGGAACAGTTGCAAACATGGCACAATTTAAAGAAAAAAAAAGCCATAAAGAGCAGGAAATGAGGGTGACAGATTGGGTGTGTCCCACTGATTTCCAGAACTGTGGATGATTGTTGACATAGATATTTGGCACAGTGAAGAGCTGGCTGATAATGTTTTTAGCGTTTTTGTATCTTCTATTATTTCTTTATTGCTACTTTCATTTATTGCATTGATTAGAATGTCTAATATACCTATTTTTGGTTTTATTATCATACTTTTATTATAAAGATTGTTTTGCAATTTTAGCCTAATATAATGAAACACAACAGTGGTTCATAATAGGGACTCACAGGAATTTGCTCAAAACTCTTATAGAAAATTTGGTAAGAAACCATCTTAAAAAGTAGACTTATTCTTGAGAAAACACTCAAAACTCTTTTTCAATAGTTAACACCACCCAAACAACCCATGCTACATGAAATGCAGTGAATGTTCATGACCTATTTAAAAGTTGATTATTTTTCATTGAAAATTGATTTACATGGTTATAAATATATAATAGATTCAAGGTTGTTATAAGCAGCTGCCTTTTGTACTCGATGGGTGTTAAATGCAAGTTTACACAAAACCTCAGGCACAAAGTCATCTGGCTCAGGAAATAATTACTTTAAAAGACACAAAACTTTATTTACAGCAATGGTTTAGACATACATGTTTATTTGAAAAGGTTGCTTTTCTATTGATAAAATGTTATACGAGCTTAGTGGGTGGTTGTGTCTTACTCTAGGCATATATTTGTCTATTGTTGTGCATTAACAAAACTAACACACAAGATAATTACAAATTTAAAATCTACAAATAGGGATCGCAGAAAAAGCAAGAAACTATGACTGGAGGTCAACTGCTGACAGTTCGTTCAAGCTACAAATCTCTATCATGAATCCAGTTTAGAATTATTGCAACTAATATCTACTGTAGTGTGGGATCACATTGAGAGAGTACTTTTAAACTTAATTCAATCTCTTTAATTTTGTCATACTGCAAAATTTTTTAAGTCCTTCACTTTCTGGCATAAAAAATTCTGGTTTTCATAGCATGCACATTAGCTGAAAACTACAACTTGTGCATGTTATAGTGCATTAATTAGAAAGTGCCACGTGAAAGGTTCCCAATCTTGCTGTTACGTATCATTACTCGAGTCGCTATTGTTCATCATTACTCGAGTTTGCTATCTATATGTGGATTTCCTCGACTATATATCAGCAAGTTTTTAACAGTGGACAATTACCATAGTTGATTTCCCTACTCAGACGATGATGGTGATTCTTGCATCTTTATTCAACTAATCTTTGATGCCTTATATCCTAGGAAATTTTGTTACATTGGAAAAAAATAAGTCCAAATCATGCCAATGTTACATAGTATCTTAAGGAAACAAACAATTAATGGCCTGTAAAACTTTTAAACATAACAGCGATCTTGGCCATTGACATTCAATGTTTTCATTCTAACCAGCATGGCTTGCCTGCCAAGTACAGCCTGTAGTAAGACTAGACTTGTATCGGAACTCTCACACATACTACTGTACTGTAATACATACACAATGCCTAAGTACTGCACATGTACACGCTACTGATATGTATTGTCATTCGTAGTTTGTATTGATCCGTAGAGAGGCAAAGCTAACCTTATTTTATTTATTGTTATTCTGTTTCATACTGATTCAAACTTTCATAACATTTTGTTTGCAGTTATCATTATTATATTATGTTTAATTCATGGATTTTTCCACTTTTCTTATGGTAGCTAGGCCTTCCGTATTTCCTTCTTTCGATTGGTTGTGTCTGTCTAACGTTAGCCTTAGGCCTATACAAAGGACGTCAGTGTTCCAAATGTGACGATTAAAGGTGAAAATCGGAGTTTGATTTTATAAATTTGATCATTTTAGTTCCTACCAAATGTGTATCAGTAAGAAGCTGGGACAGCTATGTTAGTTTTATTGACATAAGCATCTGTACTAGAAATTAATCTCTCTATATATAATCGTGCTATTGGTGTTTGCTTTCATTGCAAATTCCCACCCACCCATATACACGCGTACAAAAATCATGCAATGTGGTAATAGTTTCGCTTTGAGTTTGCTTACTGATTAAGTATATATTTTTATACATACACACACAGCCACTAATCGTCCATCAGACAACGTGGCGGTTGTTTAAGTTGGTTGTCCGAGGAAGCTTTTAGTTGTCTCAGATGACTGTTAAAATCAACTCCTGGTTAGTTATCGAGGTTATATTGTGTAAGAAAATTGATTTGATTCAACATTACTTTTAGGTTATTAGAGGTTTTGAATGTCATTTGTAACATAAGCGTGCAACAAGTTATGACAGTGTACAAGTGCTCTAGTTTGTAGATATGTTAATGGAGGAAATAAACTAATTTGTGATTGGCACATGGACTGGATGTTGAATAATTTTCACCAGATAATTCAAAAGAACCTACCAACAAATTAACAGCAACACAACAATAGTAATGTCTAACAGCTCTAAGCTTAATTACTACTGACAAAAAATAAAGTATAGATACAAAAAATATTTTTTGAAATACTCGTACTTACGCTTCTTTCACAGTTACTTGATTAGAATCTGGAACTTTAACCTTTTTTGGCTGTAAACGGTCTTTTTCCTTACTATGAAACAAATAAAAATAATCTATTAGAAAAAAACTGTTTTATACTCTAACAATCACATGAATGCTCTTTGTCAATTTTTAAAAATATAATATGCACAATTTTATTTTAAATAATATTCATCACATATGCTTTTATTCAAATTGAAATGAACTATTATTTTTTCATTTTCTGTCAGTTAATAAAACAAAGACTTGTTATAAAAGAAAAAACACCCAGTGAATCAAGAATAAAATATATTCTAAATACTTTGTAGGACTATATTTATATTGATGTGGTATTCATGTTCCAAGGCAGTTATAAGTATTGGTAATACATCCTGTAATTTATAGGCAGTACAATAACTTTTAATCATGACTAACTATGACTAAATTGTAATTAAGAATACAGTGCTCTACAGAAATGATAGGGCATTACATTAATTATAAAACTAAGTTTGACACTTTTTTTGACTAGCAAGATTTAAAACACAATGAGATATATATTTATATTGTAGTTATTTTCACATCTGTGTCAACTTGATAATAAGTTTGAAGAACCTTAATTTTAATAAGTTATTTTTCAAACATTAAAATTACAATTAACAACAAAAGTATTTCAAAATATTTTAATTA